TTCTGATTTTGTGTTAAAACACTGATCAAATGTTCGGGAGCGTGACGGTGCGCTTAGGTCCTCTTCTTCATATTGTCTTTTTGACTTGTTCGTGAAACCGGACCCAGGGGAGAAGGAGAAGGAGGGGGTGGGGAAAATGCAGCGCAATTTCACTATCACTTAAAACTAAGTCAGGTGCAAGTCGGCGTCCCTGTGCAACCCTGCAGTGAGTCACACTGTGGACCGCTTGGAATACGACAGTCGAGCTGGCGTATGTAAACTCTGAGTTTCACTGTGAGAGGGAGAGACAGTTTGGCGCATCCGATTTGACGTCCACCGGCGTTCATTGTCTGGCTCAGGCTAATGACGGTCGGTCTGGATGCATACTCGCGAGATAAAGGCGTAGGAATGATGTGTGAGTTAGGTGCCGTGTAAGTCGCTTTCACTCTATAAAAATCCACCTTCAAGTCACCACTCGTGCTCTCAGGAGGCTTTTTTGCGTACAACGATCGGATTTTTAGGGTGTGTTCATTCTGCGTCACACAAGTATGTACTTACGGTCAGTGTAATACGCAGTTTGTAACATTGTTGTATTTGTATTTTTGTATCTTAGCTCCTTGAGCGTAACCGGTTTCGTTTGGCTGTCCAAAACAGTGGATCGCAAATTACTGCCTCAGCAGGCGACAGCTCCGTCCTTTTCCAGACCCAAGTGAGCAAAGACCAAGAGCCCGTAAGTGCGCAAATTTTTTAATTTCCGTGTTCTCGATGCAATGAATTTTAATTTGTGCAAGCAAAGTCGTTGCAGGTTGTTAAAGCGTGAATGGAAACAAGGGGATGTTTTCTGTGATTGTTGAAAAATTTGCACTTTGTTCTAAGACGGTCAAATGGGAGCGCATAGGTGTCAGTCGTAAGTTTGATAAACAATGAAGGCCATAGCTAAGTAGCCGTTTACGTAGGCCACGCACAACTTCATTACTTACTTCGAAATTGACCAAAATAAGTGAATTGCAATACCGTCGACGGCTATTCAAGATTATCCGTTACCAACACAGCTTTGTCGACAGTTACACGCGCCGTCAAGACGGAGCTCGAACCGCATCAGCCCCAAATGTTGGCCAGCGCTAGCGCAGATGCAGTGAATTGCAAAATACAGTTGAGCGACAGTCACTGACATACCTACAATTCCGAGTAAGTAGGTCGCACACGACTTCAAACTCGGTCATATTTATGCATATATAATAGGCTGATGTACGCTGTGCAGAGACTACGGACCATACCTGCGTCTCAGCTTTTACATCCTACATCTCATCTATATTTTCTGGCTGCCATCTAACACCTTTTATGGCGTTTAACAGTCGACTCATATT